TACCATCGTTGTAATTGCATATAAAACACTGTTTCAAATCCTAATAAAAGCTTTCAGGCCAAAGAGGTCTCCTTAACTCAAAAAAAAAAAAAAAAAGCTGACCCAGCCGGGTTATAAGAAACAATTAATTAACTTTATATGGCCTAATTGAAACAAATTGCATTTGGTCATTGTACATTCTGCAATTTGCACCAGGGTATTGTACATAAAAGTCTACTACTGTGAGATCATTTATCCTGTTATTTATGATATTTTGATTATAGCTATTTCATATTTTTTCCAACCATCATTATTATTTTTAAATTTGACTTTTTTTTATTGCTTAAAAAAATCAAATTTACATATGAAAAAAAAAATATAAATAAATAAATAAAATATTAATAAACAAACCAATTGCTTCGGTATTTGAATCATGTTTGTCAAAAGTTAGATTAACTTAAACTTCATAATTGTAAGAGCTTCAATTGTTGAAAAGACGTTGTTCGCGCTGATCTTGTTTATAATAGAATTTTGCCAATATTATCTGCATTCATGAGGCCTACTAGATCGCCACTAAATATTTTTGTATCAATGGCATTTTCTCAGTTTGGCTTACGATTTTACATATTCAAAGGTTCGCAAAAAGCTCCTAGTAGTTTCGACTTCTCTATTACAATTAGGCACTACATATAATACCCCTGAAAATCTTGCTACATAAGTATCCTTCTCTTACACAAATGAAATCACTGAATTCGGTAATTATTTAATTTAAAAATGAAATTCTTCAGGTGCTATATGCAATGGCCAATCTAATCTACAAAATTAGAGTAACTATTGTCAAAGCTATTCAAATAAAGGAAAGATATACACGATTATACAAAATCAAACCACTAGCATTATAATTGAATATCAAATACAATTGACTTTTTGTAATGCTTATTCACAAATAAAAGACCCCTCTGTATATTGTAAATAAAAAATAAGATGCAAAAAAATATATTCAGTAAAATGCATCAGAACCTATTTAACTGTATAGCGCTGCATACAATAATACCTCTCTGAAAAGTATCCCCTTTAAGTAGTATTGTAATACTATTCAATTGTAAATTCCAACATTTTTGAAAAGTATCCCGGTACTATTCAAGTAATAATTTATTATATTCATGATCCAAATTAATGATCTTGTTATACGATCAACTCACATGATCAATACCATCTTCAGAGTGCTCCAGATATAATTTATTTTGCTATTTTGAAAAGACCAGGGGTACTAGAGTTGTCTGCTGTAATTAATTCCAACTATTACAACATATGAGTTGTAATATTACGACATATAGGTTGCAATATTACAACCTGTTAAAAACAATTATAGCAGGCAACTCTAAGAGGTACTGGATGCAGCACTGTATGGTAAAATCAAAATTTCAATAACAAGATAATGGACTCTATCAAAGGAAACTGTATGGCTAAAATTGGTATCAATAACAATATCAAATCGTGAACAATGACAATAGATGAAAGCCAAATCTTTGTATTCCTTAAGTACCTTGTAAATTTCACTATCCATGGCATCTAATACTAACCTCACGAGGTGTACATGCATATATGCATGTGTACATACATACATACACATATGTGCCTAATGATTGCTATTGTTCTTAAATTTTGATACCATGCGATCAAGTTCTTTTTCACATTCTAAAAGTCATTTTCTATATTGAAAGAACAATATTAATTATTTAAAAAAAAATTAGACAATTGAGTACTGATTTAAAAAAAAAAAAAAAAAAAAGATTAAATAATATGATATGTAGTGCAATATCAATAAAAAATAAATAAATAAATAAAATAAAAAGACGAGCTTTAAGATAATCTAACTATTCTTCAGTCTGCAATAATAAAATACCCATTTCTTTAAGTATTTGGCATCTCAAATAACAACACACGATCTACATCAGTCTAGTTCTTTTGATAGCAATACGATAACCTTTTCTATTGGATTAGATGAATCAATTGCATCTGATGCATCTGATGTATCAGAAAATTTACATAGTTTGGATACTGAATCGAATTCTAGTATACCTGATCAATCTACATCATATAATAGTAGCGTTACAGTAACTAATAGTTTAGGTAAACAGATTATAAAACGAAAAGCTTTTACCTGTACTAAAAGATCGAGACCGCAAAAAAGTTGGGTGTGGGACTATTTTAAGAAAAATAAACTTAAGAAAAAGGCCTATTGTTTAGTTAAAATACAAAATGAAAATGGTATCGAAGTAAAATGCAATCATGACTATGAATTATCAACTGGAACAGGAAATCTAAAATCTCACCTACGCCAAATTCATAGAATTTTACCTCCCGAAAAAAATAACAACAAATCAACACAAATAGTTTCAAACCAACAATTCTTACATGACTTTATAAATAAAAAAGTGCTTTTGCCTTCTTTAAAACAAAATAAAATTATCAATCATATTTTAGCTTGGATCATAAATGACTTACAACCATTTTATGCCATTGCAAATGAATCTTTCTGAGATATGATCCTTGAATGTGAACCGAGATTTGAATTTCCTTGCAAGGATAAACTAAAAAAAAATTAATGCAGTCAGTACTCTATACCGAACAACAGCTCAAAAGTCTATTGGAAACGACAATAGACTCTTTTTGCTTTACAACAGATCTGTGATCACAAATGCATCAACCTTATATTGCCGTAACAATACATTGGATTAGTCCTGAATTTACTTTATATCAAGCACTTATTACAATCCAAAAATTTGATTATCCTCATACCGGTTAGTGCTATACATTTTGATATTCAAGTTTTTTTTTCTTTTTTTCAACTTAGTTTAAATATATCCAATAAGGACTAGAACCGTTCAATTGCATGACAATTGATCGCATTGAACTATATTACTGGCCAAAAAATTATCAACACTGATTGGATTAAACGGTTAACAGTTGAACAATTAAAAAATTTTTAGACGATTCTAATCTCTAATATCTTAATTATATAATTAATGTTGCGGCTAAAGCTGGATATTTTAAAGAAATTTTAGAATTTTTTGTATGTATTTTTTTAGCCTTTTTCTTATAATTAGATTGGGATTTAAGGCTAGTTTTTATAACAAAGAGTATAAGTGGATTTTGGTAGAATTTCCAAATTTTCAGCTTTAATCACAACAATTAATAAGATTATTGTCCCTTAAACCATTTTACAAGCAAATTTGCTTGCAAATTTCAATGATTAATCTGTGATTAAGCTACAAAATTATATTATACCATAGTATAATTGGGTTAAATTGATGGTTTAAGGGATATTATTTTACATTTCTACATGATCACATGACGGGGATTTACAACTTATAATTACTACTTTAATCAGTAAAAAAAACCTAATTTCTAGTAATGCTTGTTATTTCCCTGGTAACGCTTGTTATTTCCCCGAACTTCCAGGGAAATAACAAGCATTGCTAGAAAACTCAATTTTTTTTATTGACCAAAATAGTAATCATAAACTGTAAAGCCCATCATGACATATAAAAATGACCCTTATTTTGCCGCTACGGGGAAATAACCCAGTAGATCTGGAGGCTCTTCGGGCCTCTAGATGGCCAGGGATTTACCTCTTATTCTTGCCATTGTGGGAAATAAATAGTACTTATTCCACATTTCTATATGATCGCATGATGGGAATTTACAACTACTTTATAGCTGTTTTCAAAAAAGTGTGAACGATCACAGATCACCATATCATGGGGAATTTAAGATATTTCCCAAAATTTTGGAGTTTTCAAAACCTGCTCTAATCGGATATTTAATTTTTACTAATCTAAATTTCCAAATTCTTCGATTTCCAATACAGGTATATGGAAATCGCTGTTCACACATTTTTAAAAACTGCTATAATCAGTAAAAAACACCTAGTTTCTAGCAATGTTTATTATTTCCCCTGTAACGCTTGTTATTTCTCCAGAAGTCTGAGGAAATAACAAGCATTACCAGAGAAATAACAAGCATTGCTAGAAACTCGATTTTTTTTATTGACCAAAGTAGTAATTATGAGTCGTAAAGCCCGTCATGACATATAAAAATGAAGAATAATACCCTTATTTTGCCACTACGAGGAAATAACCCAGTAGATCTTTGGCCTTTTGGAGACTCTTTGGGCCTCCAAATGACTGGAGATTTACCTCTTATTCCCACCGTTGCGGGAAATAAATAGTACATAAATTTTAAATTTTTTTTTTTTTTTTTTTTGACATAATGTGCTCAAACCTTTATTTTATCCAAACTTGCATCATATAGGTGATCGAATTGAGAATTTCTGCCGGCAACTTTTTGACAAATGGGGAATATATGAAAAGCTTTTTGGGCTTCAACGGATAACGCCTCTTCAATGATTAAAGCAATAAAACAGTTAGAAATTGAACACATAGGTTGTACAGCACACACAATTCAACTCGCATTAGAAGATGGATTTAATCGCACAGAAATTGATGATCTTATTAGTAAAGCAAAAATGTTAAATAATTATGTAAATAGAGATAAATACCGTGAGAAACTTTATAGTATACAAGCCGAATTAAATCTGTTGCAATTAGTCAATCCTCTTTCAAGTGATACTAAGACCCATTGGAGTTCTACTTATAATCTTCTAAAAAACCTTCTTCTTCTTCATAATGCTATTGTACAATTGTCTGATCATTTAAAACACAGTATTAATAGACAAGAGAGACAAGATGAAATGAAACTTTCAGAGCTTTTTTTATCAGTAGAAGAATAGAATTCATTAGATGAATTAGTAAAGCTTTTATTTCCCTTTGCACAAGCAACCGGATATATTGGAGGTAGCCAATATCCAACTTTAGAGATGATGGTATCTACCTTAATTAAACTTTCTTATTATTTGCAAGACCTTTATCCAACAATTACATCACAAACTGTAAAAACTTGTTGCCATAAAATTAACGAATCAATGTTGTCGAGATGGTCTGAACTCTCATCTAATAGTTTTGTAGCTGCCTTTTTAAACCCAAGGTTCAAAAAAATGAACTATGTAACGCTTATTAAAAAAAGAAAAACAATTACCCACCTTCGTACTTTATTTAATACATATGAACGTTCAACTCCGATCCAAGCAAATCAACTACCAAAAATTAACACTTTTTTCTTTTTTTCCTCCTTTTACGATGATGACAATAGTATTTTAGATGAAAGTGAAGATCTACCATCTATTGAAAAAGAAATAGAACTTTATGACAATCTACTACAAATTCCTAAATATCATATAATGGATGAAGAATATTGCAAAATTAATCCATTAATCTGGTGGAATGAACACAAAGCAATGTTTCCTTTTCTTTCTCAACAAGCAAGAAGATACTTAGCTTTTCCAGCTACATTTGTTCCTTCAGAAAGAATCTTTTCAACTGCAGGCAATACAATTACTGATAAGAGAAATCAGCTAGACCCAGATACAGTTTATGATCTTTTGTTCCTTAAAGAAAATTCAAAAATTTATTCTGTGTATCCGGGCTTAGTGTAAATTTTAAATCTATGAATCTTAACAAAATCAGCAGTAGAAAAAAAAAAAAAAAAAAAAAAAAAGTAGATAGTCAACTCCCCCAAATCCGAACTTGGATAATCTGAATTCTTAATAAACTAAGTAAAGACCGAACACAAAACTACAGAACAATGTAAATTTTACTATAAAGTTTAGATTAGCATCATAGTAACTCTTTGAGAAATAGATATTTTTATTTATTTTTACTATTCACTATTTAGTTGTTTTTTTATTATAATATTTGCACTGTAAAGTGTTACAGTGCAAATAAAGGCATCTAAGTATATATTGAATCATAAAGTCGATAAATCGACTTTATGATTCTATCGTAATCAACTTAGCCAATAGTATTATACGACATTCAAAAGGTTATTAGAAGCTAGAATCCTGCAAATGATCTACATACTCTCACCCAGATTGTAGAGCACTATAATCCTGCAAATGATCGACATACCAAGTCGCATCACACCCCCCCAATTTTAACAAAAAAAGGTATATTTACTTTTTTTATTGTTAATTTTTAGGACCTTGTCATTAAAAATAGGGTTTATTTTTAAACCCATTTTTCATTTTAATTAGAAGCTAGAATCCTGCAATTTTTTATTATATATTTTTAATTAGAAACTAGAATTTTGTAAAAAGCTAGAATTCTGCAATTTCGTTATTCGCCACACCCCATTTAATTAGAAATTGCCGTCAGACCAAAAAACATATTTTGTGCGAAATTTTATTAAGATAATCATTCTTGAGTTATTAATAATAGTTGTAGAATGGACAAAAAAACTGCTAGTTTCATAAAACCACTTTGGTTATTTTATTAATAAAATTTTGCGTTATGATTAAAAAACGTATCAAAACGTATATGTAAAGTGATCTACAAAGACAATATAGGCGTTTTCATAATGAAAAAAATTAAGATCTCCGCCAATATTGATCCAAACACCGCCAAATTTCACAGAAAAAATTCTACACAACTCTACAATCGGCATTTAAAATTTTGAGCATAAATTATTATGTACGTTCTCAAAATTTGAGCTAAAACCGAGAATTTTTGTGCATTTTCATCAAAAATTTTTGTATCTGCAGACAATTATGAAAAAATTTCATCATTTCATCAGTTTAAAAATTAGAGACCTGAAATGTTGACTGTGAATAGCTGAACATCTTACCTATCAGCCGTATTAATGCATATATTGAAGTTTCATTTGACCAAAGTACTCGGAATTAGATTTTTCTGCATGGAAAAACTTGCGAAAACGTATAGGTCTTCTTTTTACAAAAATCGGAATATCTCCATGACTTTTTATCCGTTTTGCGTGAAATTTTGGATTTAAGTAGCTTAATTTCATATCTACAAGTTTAATTAAAAGCATTTTTGTGGTTAGATAAGTGAAATTTTGAGATAATAATTACCGGAAATAGACTATTGTTCAAAAATGTATGTAAAGAAGATTGTTCTAAGAATTTTTTTGCAATATTTATAACTAACCAATCATGTGATCAGTCCAAATTCGTAAAATACGAATTAAGAAGTCCATTGAATTTCCAAATTCGTAAAATACGGATTTGGAAATTCAATGGACTTCTTATTTAATAAAATACTAATAAGGAAGTTTATAAATCACTTAGCTAATTTTTAAATAATAAAAAGAATTTTCTAGTAATATTTTTTAGCCCAACTTTTTCTCGTAACACTGATTGAGGACTCGAAAAAGTTACGCCAGTCGTTCATAAATGAAATACTTACTCCTGACTACGTCAGTCATGGCGCATTTCATTTACTCCGCCTTCTGTTGTAAGCCTCGGGCCGGTGGGCCTTTAGCCGTAAATCAATTGAAACTTATAAAAGAAGGAAATTTCCACAGAGGAAAAATTTCCACAGAGGAAAATTCCACAGAGGAAAATTCAATTTGCTTGAAAATTCAATTCGTCAAATCGCTTGATTTATTACATAAAATAAAATTCATTACGCTATATATTTTACCTATCTGTGTATAAATTTCTAGCACATTCTACGTTATCATTAAATAAATTTAGTATGAATCTAAATTTAGTAGGTTTATAGTTCGAATGGTGCTGATCTATAAATAAGGTTAATTCAATTAATTTTGTTTTATATATTATTCGCGTTAATTTTCAAGATGTCATCTTTAGTTTTATCTCGACGTATAATGTTCTCCATAGAAACGTAAGTTTACTTTTGTTTTGTTATGTTGTATAAATTTTAATTTTTTTTTTAACTTTATAGAAAAGAGCAATTATTTGAATTTTTAAGTGAGTGGGGAGATAAACGCTATATTAAAAGAGATGAATACGATGATGATGAAGATCAATCAACCTTTTCTCTAAGAGAATTTAATAATCAAATGAATAAAGTTCACAACCGACATTTGAAAGAAAGAGAAAGCGAAAGACGTTTCGAACAAGAAAGAAATAAGGAGAATAATAAGTTTATAATTAATTTTTTAATGTTTATTTTTATTTTTATTCTTGTTTTGGTTTTTATCTTCTGTCTCTATCAAGAAAAAGCAGTTGCATCTGTGGCAGCTGCGTTAATTACTGGTTTAACCACTTTTTTTAAAGTTAGAAACATGTAATTAAACTATTAATAAATATACATATGTATTGTATATGAAAATTTTATTTAATTAAAAAATAAAATTTATCTATTTTTACGAAAAAAACAACTCTTGGGAGTGTGATTGTTCTTTTTACATATATTACAATAAATGAATTCCCTGCAAGGACCCAAGTGCACGAAGTTACAAAACGTACACTTGTTATACTCGCAGTTTCTAAAAAAATGTTTATCCGAACCACATGCTTGACAATGTTTTTTAAAGCGACAATCCTTATAAAAATGATTTTTTTTACCGCAAAGTTCACAAAACACCGGAGAACCTTCGAAAGGATCGAAGAAATAATCCCGCAAAATCTTATCAGGTGGTGGACCCCAACCATCATTAGAACTAAAAAATAAAAATATAAATAAATTAAAATAAAAAAAAAAAAAAAAAAAAGAAATTACCTCATTTTTATTTTATTTTTTTTAGTAAATGAAGGTAAAATATCATTTCTTTTATAATAAAATATACATATTCGTACATATATTTATTTAGAAATTTGATTACAAATCTTTATACCCTGCATAATTATCAATTGTATAATTCCAATCCCTAACATACCCCCCAAACTTCTCAATATATAACGGTTTTTCATCGATAATATAATACAAATTACGCTTAATAACCTTAATAAAATCAATCTTGACAAAGGTATAAATTTTTTTATACTTCTCAATTTTACCGCGTTTTTTATCGATTTGATCAATTAAATCCCTAACGTAATCTAAAAGATAGGTACAATGGGTTGACATGTCACTTTTTTTGATTAAATTTAAGATTTTTTCCAATACAAAATTCACAAGATTACGATAAACATAGTTGTCTCTGTAGACTTTGTAGCGTAATTTGTACAGACAATACTCTCTCAAAATGCGCAATTTGAAGTTTACAACATAAACAAAATCATGCTCTTTCAACAATCCTTTATAACATGGGCATATCTTCATGTAGTTTTTAACGAATATTGACTTGTAGCCTTTATGTCTTTTTGGGATTCTAAGACCGCAATCTTCCACAACCTTTCGCCAGAAAGGATGCTCGTCAAGAACTTCTTTCCAGGTTTTACAGACTAGCGAGCATCTTTGAAAGGTGTGTGGATCAAAAATATAGTTAAAAACATAATAAATAGGGTGTTCATTCTCAGATTCTGTTAAAAAATTTCTCTTTCGTTTCATTTTTTTAAAGTTTATCAATGATACAAAATTCAAATTTATAAACTTTGAAAATTACCAAATATAGATTTCCACATTTGGTAATTTTCTGATCATGGACTGGAAATCAAAATTCCCATCGTTCGAACACGCAACAACCTGGGAAAAGATCACGAATTCTGACAAACCAAGGCTCAAACTGAACGAGTATCGCACGGTCAAGATCGACAACAAACTGTACCTCGAAATAAAAACTCAAAGATCGGACATCACGTTTCTCGCTGACTACAAGCACTTTGAACACTTAAAGAATCACACGTGGTATTCATGGAAAGATAAAAATACATATTATATACTTACAAATATTTATAAAAATAATCTTCATAAAGGTCGAAGATTTCATCGTTTATTATATCCTGAATGGAAAATGATTGATCATATAAACCAAGATGGTTTAGACAATCGTGAATGTAATCTAAGAGAAACAAATCATCATTTAAATGGTATAAATTGTAAATTATTTAAAACAAATACATCTGGTTTTAACGGAATTGATTATACTAAATATTTTAAAAAATGGAGATTTCGTTGGATTGAAAATGGTAAACGTAAAGGAAAATATTTTAAAATCAAAAAAGATGCAATAGATTTTAAGATAAAGCATGATAAGAAAACTGGTAATCAAAATGGATATTTAAATAAAAGTTGATATGTATTAGCTACGTTTAAAAATAAAAAACGCATTGCCCGAGTCGAACCAACTTGGAGGTTTACATATCACTCGACTCAAAAAAAAAAAACGAGAGCTTCAATCCTTTTAGGGTGAGAGACATGACGGCCACCAGACCATGAAATGTCATGTCCCTTATCGATTACTTCGCTCACCGTTCCCAAGAAAGAAAAGCCGGCTTAATGAGGCCAGCCATCGAAAATGCAAAGAAATGCTGCCGTTAATATCGTTCTGAGAGACCCAGTTCCCACAGAACTCAAGCAAATTCAAGGTAGCGCTGCCGCACTGAGACCTTTGTAATCGTCGCAAAACGAACAAAATTACATGGTCTTCTCACCGCAGTTACAGAGAAACTTTACCCGATAGCACAACTCAAAGGACGATACCAGCAATCCTTATCATCGTTTTCGGGAAGAAACGCACTGGGCTACCAACTACGTTCTCGTTGGAATTTTTGAAGGAATGTAAAAAAAGTTTGACCGTTTTCGCCCGTGTCAACCAGAGAGACGTGAATACACTTCACCGTAAAGACGGTTATCTCATGCGTCATTTCGCTGCCACGCATCGTGTTCATCTCCCTCGCAAGAGACTACGCTTCTCCCTGTTCGGATATTAAGATGCGGGTGTTCTCCACCGTCTCTCTGATAAAACCACGGATGAAAGGGTGAGAAAGATGAAATTGGGCGTAATCGGTAGGTATTTGTACGCAGATCAACCAAATGTATCACATACGCTTACGTAATCGTACATGCATCACTATCGGAATACCAAATTTGGTTATAAATACTACATGATCATCAGAATACAAAGTAAAATATGGAAAACTCAATGATGATATTTTATTAGACACATTCGAAACATTGACACCGAGACAAAGGGAAAAAATTAAAACAACTTGCCGAAAATTTCGCAATGTTTACATCAGAAGTTTGAGAACGAGGAGAGATATTAATCCCAAGCGACATATTTTCTTCCGATTACATAAAAAAGATCAAAAATTAAATCAAGATTTGTTATTTTACGAAATTGATCATGTTCAAAATGGATTTGTACATTTTAAAGGTAAAAGGACAAAAGCAACGAAAAAATGTAAAATTTTATATAACAAATTTGGCATTCCATATTGTAAATTACAAAATAATTTCGTCTACATTTACGAAAAAAAATTTAAAGACGAGATATTAAAAGACTTTTGTGAAAGATGTAATAAGGTAGATTTTTCGTTCGAATGTGGTATAATGATTCCACACTGTAAAATTATAAATTGTAAAGAAAAATCATTTTGCTTTAAAGATCCATTTAATTTTACTAACTTGGATATAAAAAATACTTATTGTCGACATATTTTTTGTTCAAAATGTTCATTCAAACTTAGTTTTATACATTCTAAAAAAACTTTTTTTAACTCTATAACAAAAACATTTATTATCAAATCAGATTTTAAAAATACTGACTTTACTACACAACATTTTTTAAAAAATATTATAATGTGAATAAATATAAATATACTTAAACGTCTGAATTTTTATTTATTCTTGTAAATTTTATTTAATAAATTATTAAAATTTATAATAAAAATGCTTATTTTTTCCTGAAATTACTTCATATAATTCTTTTAATTCTGATGAATTATGCTTAGCATAAATGCTCATATGAATAATAATTCCCAACATAACACCCAACATTACACCCAATAAAAAGAATAAAATCATCATCATAAAACTAAAGTTTAATGCTTGATTATATATGTTAACGACTTCACACGATTTAATTTCACGCAAAGGTAAAGTTGACCTAACATCAGCCAATATTTTATCAACAGAAGCATTTTTCTTTGCTTCTTGAAGAATTTCGTCTAATTTAGTTCTTGTTATTGTTAGAGTAGTAACCCTTTTCTTTGCTGCTTCTTGAAGAACTTCGTCTACATTAGTTCTTGTTATTGTTAGTTTGTTAAGTTGTTATTGTATAATCATAATAAAATATTTACTTGGTCATAGTGAGAATCGAAAGGGTGAAGAATCTGAAAATTGAGCGTAAATCGCAGGTTTTGTAGCGTCGATCAACCGATGACTCATATCTGATATGTATATAAATTACCAAATTTGAATTCATACAGATACATCTGATATCACAATAAAAAAATATGGATTCGCCTTTTGCAAACATGAACCGGTAAGAAGAAAATTATTGTTAAAATTATTTTCCTTTTTTTTTTTAATTTGCTTTATTTCTATTAGAGAACAAATTTATAAACATCTTGATAAGTGGTATAAAAGTAAAAATGAAGAAACCTTTCGTTTGATCAAAGATCAAAAAGAAGAAATAGAAAAATATCAACAAAGAGAAAAATTTTTTATCTTATTTATTATTTTAATTATAATGCAAAAGAATTTTTTCATTAATATTACGTTTTTAATTCTTATTTATTTATTAAAAATATATTAAAAATGGTATCAAAGAGTAAAGAATAAAATTAGATATGTTTCACATATAAAACTACGAATAATTACATGTTTTTAGACTGGAAATACGCGGTTAAACCAGTGATTAACCCGGTTGCAACAGATGCGACCGCCTTTTCTTGATATAAACAAAAAATAAAAACTAACGTAAAAACAAACATAAAAATAAAGATCATAAGAGTAATTATAAATTGTCTTTCTTTTTCTTTTTCTTTTAAATATCGGTTGTGAACCTTGTTAATTTGATTATTATGTTCGGTTATAGAGATAGTATTTTCAAAATATTCAGTAGCCCATTCATTTAAAATTTCATAAAAGGTTTCTCTAAAAAAAAATAAATACTTAAATAATTTAATAATTATAATAAAAATAAATAAATAATTACTTTTCCATGATTAAAAAAACGCGTCGAGATAAAACTAAAGATGACATCTTGAAATTAACGCGAATAATATACAAAATAAAATCAACTATGAATTAACCATATTTATAGATCAAGACATACAAACTATGAACTTGCCAAATTTAGATTCGTACTAAATTCATTTAAAAATAAACATATAATAGCGTGGAATGTGCTAGAAATTTATATACAAGTCACGTTTTTATTAAATAGAATTAAGTATAAAATACAGGTTTTTACAGGTAATATTTACAAAAAAACTACAACTAAACACGGTACTCCCAGTAGCCCTCACCGTCAACAACCCTCCCATTTCTTGACGAAGGGCTCACCACCACCTCCTTAAAGTTGGTGTTCCGCACCACCCGATACACTCCCTCCATCTTCCACCCGATGTTGACATCTGATACCCGTCTTATTCGAACAGGTATCCTGTCAACATCCAACCCTCGCTTTATCGCCTCCTTGAAGCAATAAAGCCTTCGATTGTCCGATAAATAGAAGAAATCCTCTATCAGACAGACATTAATGAGAGGGAAATCTTCTATTCTAACCTTACCATCCACCAGATCCTGAATGGTATTCTCGAGGTCGTTGCCCATCTGGAACACATTACTTATCGAGGCCTGACTGTAATGTACCAGGCACGGGTCAAGAAAAGTAACAACATCTCCCTCCGAGAGTTGAATCCTCACAAGCAGAAACCTCCATCTAAACAGGAACAGGAGACCAAAGATCCACACCAACATCGTCGAAAACAACGACGACAACAACAACAATATCAATAACATCCACTCAAAAGCATAACTCTTGAACGGTGTTTCTTGTATCGTCGCAACAGAAGGATTCTCTTGTTCAACTTGTAATAAGGAAGGTTGAAAATCTTCTTTATTGTAGGTTGAACCAGATGGTTCTTCATCCCATTCTGATCCTTGGTCAACATCTGACCATCCCTCATAGTTAAATTCCTCAACGGGAACAGAACGAGTAAAGACTTTTTTGTTATTAAATTTAGCAATGAGTTTTTTGAAAGAAGGCATTTTAAATATTTTTGTAAAGTTGTAAAATTCAAACTCTCGATAAAAATTTTATATTTAAATAAATTTTCACTTTGCAAATCAAACTTTATTATCAAATAATTGGTTCTTTACATGAGAATTTTTAAAAAGTTTTTCCGAAATACAAGTTTAAAGATCAACTCCGAAACTTCTACCCACAAAATCAATAACATCCATTCAAAAACGCAAAAAAAATAAAATACAACAAGATTTTTACGTTCTGGTTGATCAAGAATGAAAATACATTCTTGATCAACCAGAACATAAAAATCTTTAGAAATAATATTTAAAATAAAAGTAAATTAATTTCTATGAACAAAAGAAATATAAAAAATTATTTTTTTATTTTAATATTTTCTATAAATTTAAAGAATTGCCTTTGAACTAAATCTAAATGATTGTTAAAAAGTTCTTTTCGAACTTCAACTTCAACTTGTTGAGTTAGAAGTTCTTTATTAATAGCATGAATATTATAAGTATAGAAAATATATCCTCCAAAAAAAATTAAAATAATAAAAAATAAAATTTTATATAAAGAAATATCTCTTCGTAAAGAAGCTAAATAGTAAAAAATATTAGAATTAATAAATACAAAATAAATAATTATAATATAACATATAATAACATACAAATTGTTTCTTCTAATTTTGTAATTTTCTCAAGAAATACACTGATTTCTTGAGTAATTTCTTCTCGTAAATTTCGAGAAATATGTTGTTGAGACTCTTGAAATTCAAGAGTTTCGGTAGCAAAAGTAGCATTTTGAGTAGACATTTTGTTATTTAATGGAATTTTAAATCTTGAAAGATGAGTTTATAATATTAATTGTGAGCTCTTAAATACCTGAAGTAGCAGTAATAAATGAGTCCGTAGGCGTTTCTGCCAGAGCCTCTTGATATGATGGAGGGGCATCTGGAATAGATTCTGTAACAGAATCTTCAACTTGCACTGAAGAAGATCGACTAGAAGGCAAAAATTCGGGATAGTGCTCCTCTTGATTTGGAGCAAATCGGCCAGATTCAGTTCGTTGCAAAAGATAAGACATGGCGGCGTCGATCAACAAAAGTATGTAAATCAAAAAAAGAAGAAAGAACATGTAAATCAGAAAAGAAGTTTTGGAGATCTGTGAAAGTTGTGAAAATTTTTGAAAAAAATTTACAAAAAATTGGGATTGTTCGTGCTGTGAGACCAGGCAATCTTATACCAAAAAATGAACAAAACTGAATGAAACCGCATACGGATATTGTTTGTCGTTCCGAAATTAGGTTGAATGGAAGGATTGGGTGAGTATTTTTGGTTGCATATGACCGCATGTGAAACCGGAAATAACACGTTATCACACATGCATATCAGATAACGGAATCGATTATCCAAATTCAAATGCATCTCAAATGCCCTGAAACAGGATCATGAAATTCTGCTCCTGATTACACACGCATGACTATGAAAATTCCTAAACGGAACTAGTGGATCGTGTCTTGAACCTATAAAAATTTGGGATACAATCACAATTGAACCAATATTTATCAATTGGAATGATATCTCATGATCCTGAAATACTCCTGCTCCCGATTACACACGCATTTGACTATAGGAATTCCTAAACAGGAACTAGCAGATCGTGTCTTGAACCTATAAAAATTTGGGTTACAATCACAATTGTAGATCATCTCATGATACCTGAAACTGGAAAACCTGTACTCCTACTCCTGAACACACACGCATGACTATGAAAATTCCTAAAAGGAACTAGTTGAATACTGATTTGATATCCTAATAATAAATAAATCAGATACAAATTTGGATTAATTAAATTTTAATTTAATAAATATAGCTGTTTCACAATTTTATTTAAACAATCTTAAAAAAATGGATTCTTCTTTAGAAATATCTCAACGTGTCTTTTTCATAATAATAATGTAAATTATATTTTATATTGTATTAATATTTAAAATTATTAATATTTTTTATTTTTTTTTTTAGGTTTAGAAATGAATTAATGAATAAAAATCTTCAAGAACAAAATAAAGAATTAGAAGAAAAAAATCGAAAACTTCAAGATAAACTTATCGAATCTCAAGAATCTTTTATCTCATTTCAAGAAAATTCACAACAACATTATGAAAAATTACAAGAACGTTACGAAAAGCTTCAATTTTATTTTTTCTTAATAACCTGTTTTTTATGTTTATTAGTTTGGTTTTGTATTATGTTTCCTTATGGAATTAGTCACTTAATATTAAGTTTTCTTTATAATTATGAAATTATCGAAACGAATTCTTGGTTCTCATTAACCAATAATACATTTTTAAATTTCTTAAAATAATAATTTTATTATAAAATTTTTATATATTTTAAAATAAAAAACATGGAAATGTAACGCTACATTCAATCTTCAAATCATTTTTAAACTTATCTACACATGTTATTATCTCTTTTAAAATGTTGTTAAAACGATGCTTTGTATCACTCAAGTCCTTGCTTTCATAGAGATTATGCGTCTCGTTTGCCTTGATCAAACACTCGGTAAGGTTATATGTCCGGTTATGCGCGGTGTATTCATACTCCATAACATGACAAAGATTAAGATGTATAAAGAAAAAAACGACGATAATCCAAATAGTAATTTTCATGCTAAACAGAATTATATAGATTAATTTGAGAAATAATAAAAATCGTCCAAATTCAACTTACATGAATATGCAGAAAAGAGATTAGTTGTAAAAATAAAAAAAAATCAAATATAAATATCTTTATTAAATAATTACGTAATTATTACATAATCATATTATTTAGACTTTTCTTAATATAACAATGATGTTTTAACATATGAAGACAGAGTATCATCTCCGTAAACATGCTGTTAACCTGATGCTTGATGTCATGCAGATTTTTAGCCTCAAAGATGTTGTGAGTCATGTTTGCGTTACTCAAACACTCTGTTAGATTGAAATTTTTTGAAACAACATTGTACTCCGAAGCATAATAACAATTTATGAATAATAAAATGATAAACCAGATGATTTTCATGCTACATAATAAACAATTATAGTTTTTTTTTAAAAAAAAAAAATATTACATAATAATGATGAACTCACATTCAAACTATTGGTAAATTGCTTATATAAACCCACCCTTTAGCAAATCAGATCTATTTAAATAATTGGCTCTCCGGAAAAACTAAACAAAATGAGATTCATTCTGTGGTTTCTGATTGCATTTGTACTCCTGTTTGATATGCAACATGCAGCCGAGATCGTCATCGAAGTTGAATCACATAGGTTGCACCGCAACCTCCCAATCCTCCATACATGGGATTTTCATAAAAAGCGTTACGTTCCCATACTAAACAAGAATGGAAAGATCACAAAACAATACGATGGCGGTATCTTTGTGCAAAAATTTGGTAAAGGAGGTAGAGCATATTACGAAAACGTACATAAGCCAAAGGGACCTGCACCAGGAACAATAAAACGTCCAAGACTAACAAAGAAAAAAACCAGAAAGAGAACAGCCACATCACCCAAAAGAAGAGGAAGACCGCGAAAATAAACATAAACTTTTAAAATGCTGAACTTTCTAATTGGTTTGTATCTTTCCTTTTTTTTTTTTTCTCGCTTATTAAACAAAATTAATAAACTTTTTTAGAATTCCACCTGAAAATCTTCAAGCTTCACCTGCTTCTGAACGAAACGATGCATCAAATTTATTATACTT